AACCAACCAAAACCTACCGAGACAAACACACACACGCACCGAAGGCTGGATACAAAGACGCTGAAAACAGCAACACCACCCCAACAAAATCCTAGCAAACATCAGATGAAAACGCTAAGCACTAATACGAAGTCGTCGGGGCCCTCAACCGTAGGCGCGCCACCGCAAAGAGGAGAAGCCGTGTAAGACAAGCAATGCGCTCCAAGGCAGCGCCTTTAGCAAGAGAATGACACCACCGCGTCGCCACCGCCCAATCCAAGGATTAGGGTTTCCCCGGGAGAACCCCGCCGACAAATGAGATGTCGCGATGACGCCTTTAAGAAGGGGATGACATCAGACCGCCGCTGCCATCGGCCTGGCAAAGCAGAACGAGTTTTCACCCCGGCCAACAACCAACATCACCAGATTGGGATACAGACAACCACAACACCAGCATTGAACGACCCACCCCGGTCAACATGCCGCCCACACGGCCATGGTGGCCGGATAGCGCCCGAGCCGCGTGCTTCGTCCATGAGCACCCCAGCTACCACCAACCGGGCAGCCGCCACGGCATCCGAGCCCCACCCTCATACAGGACACACCAAACCGATGCGGCCAACCGAAACGGAGCAGAAGAACCTTCCACCCCAAAGCCGACACCTTGGCACGGTCGACGACCTTTGCGGCCGGATACGGGCCAGGGGAACTCCGGCAGCCACCTGAAACAGCTGCCAGATGCAACAGAGGGGCACCCTGCCCCCTTCTTGAAGTCCCCTGCCACCTCCACCAGGCCTCGCGCGCACCCACTCCACACCATGGAGCCACGACGAGCTCATCGCTGAATCCATCAAAGAGGGAGGGAGCTCACCCAAGCCTGACACAGACGAACCGCCACGGGAGAGACCCGTCGTCGCCGCATGTAGACCGGGCGACCACCATGGCCGCAACAACGCCGTTGCAGACCACCCCACATAGAGGCCAGGACGGACCTCTGCCAACGTCCCGCGCCGCCCGTCGCCATCCAGGAGCCCGATTTGTGTGGATCTGGCTGGACCCGTGCCAGCACGCCACCGCCCAAATCAAGATCCCCGCGGCCGCCACACTGCAGACGTGCCCTCCACTCGCCAGCGCGTCCCCACCAGGCATCCCCGCCGCCGACCCCGCCATAGCCCAGCGCCCCTGCTCGATCGGCCGTCTCGCGCCAGCCACGATGCGCGAGGAGGGGGAGGAGGAGAGACACCGCCGCCACCGCCGGCCGGGCTTCGCCCGACAGTGTTGCTGGGCGGCAGCAAGGGGGGAGGGCAGAGGAGAGGGGGTCGGGGTTGCGGCGGCTAGTGTTCCCCCGGTCGCTCGCGAGAGCGACGCGGGATGGGAGGGGCGGGAGCTTTCCTGGTCTACTTCAACAAGTCATCTAGTACTCCCTCAGAATTGTATGAAGTCAAACTTCATAAAATTTTATCATATTTATATAAAAAAATATCAACATCTATAATGTTAAAGTTATACAATATGAAAATTTAAGTCATGACACATCTACTTATATTGATTTCATATTGCGAATGTTAATATTTTTTTCTATAAAGTTGATTAAACTTTACGAGGCTTGACTTTAGACAAATACTCCCTCCGGTCCTTTTTACTCTGCATATTACAATTCTCTAAAGTCAAACTTTACAAAGTTTGACCATATTTATATGAAAAAATATCAACATCTACCATGCTAAAGTTATATAATATGAAACTTTAAGTCATGACACATCTAATGGTATTGATTTTAAATTGTGAATGTTGACACTTTTTTCTAAAAAGCTGGTCAAACTTTACGAGGCTTGACTTCGGTCAAATCTTATATGCGAACTAAAAAGGACCGGAGGGAGTATTATATGCTAACTAAAAGGAACAGGAGGGAGTAAAAGCAACCGCTGAAGAGATGGAGGAACCTCTGAATAAAATGGTAGGGCATGTATCTCTCGTGACCTTAGTAAACCAAACAAACTCAACCCAGATAAGGAACACTGAATGCACGACTTAGGAATATTCGGATCCTGTAACATGGGGACCCAAAAAACATGATTAAGTTACTCCGTATCTGTCCAACCGTCGTGGAATTGTATACGTACATGTTTCAGTGATTTGGTCTCACTCTCATCCACCGTGTCCGAGATCGGTCCAAACCTCGGCTTCAGGGCTACCTCTTGCTTTGTGCATGCACTGTAGGTACATGCCCAGACGATGCATGGCACTTATTGTGTTCTCCAACCAGCTTCTGCTGTCTTTACTCTCGCGCCTTCAAAGCCTCGAACGATAAGCACATGCCCCCCACCACACAAAACCAAAAGGAGACTAGCGGGTGAAGATTAGAAGAACACAAAAATGTGATCATGTATAAACAGCAAAGCACACAAGCCTGTAAGTAATGACATCTTCCACTTTCTAGAAATACACAAGCCTGTATAATGCTAGTAAGATCATTTGTTCCGCCACTGGTCGAATTTAGCAAGCCTCCCGTGCTAACATTCAAAAATACTTCCCCGCAAAAAGTTCAAAAATACTACCTCCGTGGCATGGCCCATGGGGGACCAAGCTGGTCGTGCAGGAGCGCAGCACAGACACATGTACACATGCAAGCATGGTTACCATGAATCCACATGCGAGTCCACATGCCGAGGCGCAACATCTGTCCCCGGCGCGCGCTTCCGATCAGCTCAGGCTCAGCTCCGGGCACATGGACCTCCCTTGCATGCATGCTTGCCGACCTGTGCCGCCATTAGAGAAAGAAGATTGCAGTGCAACGGTACAACATGATGAGTCGCTCACGAGGACAGTATTCCAACTTTCCAAGAATAATTGCCTCCCGCAGTCGATGTGCTTACAGATTAACAGATGTTTGGAGCAGTGATGCTCCAACAAGTTGCCAGATTAACCAAGAGCTAGCATGTGGTGAAGATCAGATCAAGGTGGATGGATTAGTTACTGGCATGTGTTGATCAGTGTCGGTGGATTGCGTTCAGAGCTATAGGGCAGCAATAACATGCCTAAGCAGACCCTCGGGACGGGACAAAGGTCCTGGCATCATGGTCACATGGCGTGCTCAGAACTGGGCATGCAAGGGTTCCCTCTGATACTTTCTCTTAAGTTTTCGCCGTTAGATTGGTCCCATGACAGAACATCAAGCTTCTTCCAGCGATGGCAGGAGCACCAATAACAGAGCACTTCTGGCATGTTAATGGTACGCAAACTGCAGGTCATGCACATTAATGACGGAATAACTATGCTCAACACAGTCAGCTCTGAATTACAGAATGGAAAGGCTTCAAGGTTTCTACCGAGTGGTTCTAGATCTTGAATCATGAGATAGTAGAATGGTTGTCGTGAATGTGAAACATGCGTAGGCTTTTCCTGGATCAAGTAGCCTTACTTTAGTGTAACCGTGTCCAAATGCTAGCAGATCTTTGCATAGTAACAGCCCGACAGTTGAAGGTGGTAGGCCATGGCCATAAATGGGGACGAGCTGTCCAAACACGAGCCAAATGGGTATGCAGATCACGTAACTTTTAGGCCAACTCCAGGGGGCAGTGGCATCCTAGCACATGTATGTATCCTGTTGGATCTCGCGAGGCATGGACCGATGACTACTCGATTTGCCAATGACATTTAAGTTCAACTCAGATCTGCCTAAAACATAACAGTTTCTGTGATGACAGTTTTTTTTCCTTCTGAAAAAGAGGTTAAAACCAAACATATGACCACTTTTTTACATACAAAATAAATTATTGGTTCCTCAAGTTACAAGAACTCAAAATATATCTAGTACCCCAACTTTTTCTTAGACGCCATTTTAACCATTGTGTTTTAGAACCAGACATATTCTTCAAAATAAAAAAATGAGGGGAAAGCTGCCGATGTCACTGATTTTCGCCATCCTCTTGCCATGGCGTGGTTTTCTCCTTGTTTCTTGTTTTGACGAAATGTGTCTGGCTTTGACACACGAGGGGTTAGAATAGCGCCTAAACAATAAGGCACTAGATGTCGATCACTTGCAAAGATGAGGAACATTTAAGGAGTGTTCGGTTCCTCTTCGCTCCTTTAACTCCGCTCGCGGGGCGGACCAGACTCCAACTCACTTTGACGGAGCTGCCAAAACCAAGCTCCACCAACTCCATGGAGTGGAGAGATTCTGAACAGCCTTACTTCTCTCTATATATAAGACGACTTCTTTTTTATTTGACATAGGTAACCACGCTTGTGGCATTATCCATCCTTGCATTGCATTGATGATTAGTTCTTGCATTCTGAAGGTATATTTGTAAAACCAAAAAGGTGTTATTACACAATTGCTACACTAGCGGAAGAACATGGACTTTTTTTTTTGAAAGAAGAACATGGACTCATGTTGTTGACCCTGCACTGTACCATGAAGACCGCACGTCCGTTACAGGACCAAACCATCCTAGCTAGCCGGTTAACCGTGCGCACATCCGGGGGCAGTTTGGGAAGGCGCAACCCATTCCTATGTGTATCTCTGCGTTTAAAAGGGCTAGAGCTAGGCCACACTGGTCATCAGAAGCTCAGAACCACCACGACTCGGGGACGAACGTGGTCCGGTGCTCTTCGTCTCCAAGTTTCTTGCACATTGGAGCCAAAGATGGCAAGGTCCGCCATGTCCGGGCTAGTGCTCCTGCTGCTCTGTGCAACCTGCAGGTTGGCGCTAGGAATCACCGATGGTAACGTCCTCATTTATCGTTTCTACCGCTACTCTTGCGTTGATGGATGTTTCTTGAGCTGCGCTGATGAGCTCGATGGTGTGGGTGGTCGCAGGGCTGCTGGCCAACGGCAACTTCGAGCGCGGGCCGCAGCCGTCGCAGCTGCGCGGGACGCAGGTGGTGGGCGCGTCGTCGATCCCGTCGTGGCGGACGTCGGGGTTCGTGGAGTACATCCCGTCGGGGCGGAAGCAGGGGGACATGGTGCTGGTCGTCCCCGAGGGCGCCTACGCCGTGCGCCTGGGCAACGAGGCGTCCATCGCGCAGCGCCTCCGCGGGGCCGTCCCCGGCGCGCGCTACAGCCTCACCTTCAGCGCGGCGAGGACGTGCGCGCAGGCGGAGCGCCTCAACGTGTCCGCGTCCGGCCAGTCCGGCGTGCTGGTCATGCAGACCATGTACAGCAGCAACGGCTGGGACTCCTACTCCTGGGCCTGGGACGCCACCGCCGACGAGGTCGAGGTCGTCGTCCACAACCCCGGTGTCACCGAGGACCCCGCCTGCGGCCCCCTCATCGACTCTGTCGCCATCAAGACCCTCACCCCGCCCCGCCGCACCAACAGTGAGCGCTCGTGCATTCTGTCCGTGTCATGGTTTAATTCCTTCCCTGCGCCGTGTAAGTAACATCGGTCGTGCTGATCTGTAGAGAACCTGGTGAAGAATGGTGATTTCGAGGAGGGGCCGTACATCATCCCCGGGACCAAGTGGGGGGTGCTGATCCCGTCGCGGATGGTGGACGAGCACTCGCCGCTGCCGGGTTGGATGGTGGAGTCGCTCAAGGCCGTCAAGTACATCGACAGCGACCACTTCGCGGTGCCGCGGGGGCGCCGGGCCGTGGAGCTGCTGGCGGGGAGGGAGAGCGCGATCGCACAGGTGATCCGCACCGTGCCGGGGAAGCAGTACGCGCTGTCCTTCAGCGTGGGCGACGCCAGCAACACGTGCCGCGGGTCGCTCATGGTGGAGGCCTACGCCGGCAGGGAGTCCACCAAGGTGCCGTACGAGTCGGCGGGGCAGGGCGGCGCCGCCAAGCGGGCCGTGCTCCCGTTCCGCGCCACGTCGTCTCGCACGCGCGTCGTCTTCTTCAGCTCCTTCTACAATACCATGACTGACGACATGAGCTCGCTCTGCGGGCCGGTGATCGACGACGTCGCCGTCGTCAGCGTGCGCGCCCGGCCGCCAAAGCGCCCCTAGAACGATAAGCTGGCTGGCCCTAGTGCGTTGTTGTTGCATCCGTGTTAATTAGACTGCTTAGGCGCTCAAATTGCTTATTGGGCTTGAATGTGCACTAAGGAATTCGTCGGAGAGGTGCCACACTCGGTATGTCACTAGCTGTTGGAAGACTAGCTGTTGAAAGACGTTAACTGTACCTCTGCCTTCTCTTGACTAAGAGCATCTTCATTTTGCATCTCGAGCGCCAAAAACCATTCTTCAACTGATAATGTAGACACAAAAAAAATAATTACATCTTGGTATTCAGAAGATGTAAAAGACAACACCTAAAAATGTAAATTTGCATCTTCACCTATCGAAGATGTAAAACCGGCGGCCGCGCATCAACTGCCCAACCGCTTTCATTTCCTTCCTTCCGCCCGCCACTAGCCGACCACCACTCTGGCCATGGACGACACCGACGACCCCGCCTTCTCCTCTACTGGTCTGACCCACCCCGCCGCGCCGCCATAGCTGCTGAGGAGCCGCCCATTTGAGTTCGTCCCGCCGCACTTCCACTGCCGCGCCACTCGCTCACAGCACCACGCCACCGCCGCCCTGTTGCTAGATCTGGCCGCTCCACCGCCGCCCGCCTCCAAATCGGCCTAATTGGCCGCTTCTCCGTCGCCGAATCGCCGCCGCATGATTTAAGCTCCCCCTGCCGCCACCGGATTCGAGCCGCATAGTCGCCTTCACGCCGCCGTCGTTTTTCCACCGCCAGACTCGACCTTCTTGTGCCGCACGGTCGTCGCCCCGCTGTGACCAATCCTCCGCTCGATTCACAACCGCGCCACCGACTATTCGAGCCCCCCTCCAGCCGCATTCGACCTCCCGGCTCTCGCCGCCGCCGCCGCTCCTCCCATCTCTTGGCACTCGGCCACCGACGCTTATGCCGACTAGTTGTACACAGCCACGCGGCCGACGATCGGTTTTACATATCCACTTTACATCATCTATCGAAATTGCTCTTTTACATCTTCAATATACAACATCTGTTGAAGTTGCCACTTTTTGAAGATGTGAAATGGCCTTTCTGGAGATGTATTTTTTACATCTCCAAATTTGCATCATCTATTGGAGATGCTCTAAGAGATGATCTTCTCTGAGCAATAATATGTCTCACCACATGTCTGAGGATATCTAGTTATGAGAAATAACACTAAGAGATAACTATTGTACACCATTTTTACTGTCTTACCTAGATTGCATGCACTACTGCAAAACTGGCTACTAGCGGCAGGTGCAAAATGCCTACTAGCGGTGGGCAAGGCGCCCGTTGCACCATGTCTTCCATTGATAAGTTGTTACTAGTGGTGGGCGTCGGTTCCTGCCCATCATTAGTAACTAAAATATAACAGTGACGAGCCCAAAACCTTTCACACCACTAGTATATTTTGATGTAGGGTGGAACCCTATATGACCGATCTTTCACGAAAGGAGCGGATCCCACGAAGAACATGAAGAACACGAAGGGAAATCACAAAGGGGAACACAAGAGAAACACTCAAACCAACAAGTATGATCACACATGTGCTAGATCCATGAACACAAAGGGAGATACATGATCCATGATCAACAAGGGACGATAGAAGGGGTAACCGGTTCTTCTCCGTGAGGAGGTCTTGATGGTCTTCTCCGCGAGGAGGTCTTCAATCCAATGTGGATCTTCTCCGTAGAGGGGCCGCGGTCTCTCTCGTGGAGTAGATCTAATGTGGATGAGCGAGGCTCTATCTCTCAAATGAGCTATCACAACGCTAACCCTAAAACGTAGGTAGGAGGAGACTATATATAGTCTAGGGGGCGAAAGGGTACATGGGCCTCAGCCTTTTACTGTGCGCAGACAGACGGGGCCGGACGTCCGGGCGTCGGGCCGGATGTCCGGGCCTTCGGGAGGACCCGGATGTCCGGGCCTTCGGGAGGACCCGGATGTCCGGGGCTGGGGCCGGATGTCCGGGCTGACGGGGCGTCTCTTCTGTCCTATGGATCGGTGGTGTCCGGATATTCGGGCGGGAGGCCGGATTTCTGGGTTGGGGCCGGATGTCTGGGCCGGTCGCCGGATGTCCGGGCCCTGTACACTTGGTCGATGGTCCGTTGCTGCAGGTGACACCTCCAGGGGCCGGATGTCCGGGGCCTGGGAGTTGTTCTTGACTCCTTCCGTCGGTTCTCTTCATCCATGAACTTGGCGGCTTGTCCGTCTTCACGTGCATCTTCGGGAGGGTCCTCTTGGTACCTAATCATGCACAACATCTCGGACTTAAGTAGTAGCCATGTCTTGAGAGGATCATATGTAATATCACTAAGGAGAGAAGTCACCTCGGTCTCGAGAGCTCTAGCTCTAGCTCGAGTCATAGGTCCTCTTGGCACTTCGTGAGACGATGGTAGGTCCATGGGGATGACCGTAGGATGCTCCGCATCATCTCCCCTCCCTTGGGGAAGATCCGACCTCGGATCGAAATCCTCATCACCATGGTAGGGCGAGAGATCTTTGTCGTTGAAGATGTCGCTCATGGAGTACTTGTCGCGTGGAATGTCGATCTTGTAGGCGCTGTTGTTGTAGCGTTCAAGCACCTTGAAGGGTCCATCCGATCGTGGTGGAAGTTTGGACTTGCGTTCATTGGGGAAGCGGTCCTTGCGAAGGTGTAGCCACATAAGGTCTCCAATGTTGAACACCATGGGGTGCTTGTTGATGTTGAGCTTGGTCGCAAGTCGTTGTACTTGGCACTCGATGGAGTGCCTTGTATCTTCATGCACCTTCTTGAGATGGTTCACACGTGCGCTTGCATCCATATTGATGCGCTCTTGTAGTGGTAGAGGGAGAATGTCCAAAGGGGACAATGGGTTGAAACCGTAGACGACCTCGAAGGGGGACTTGCCGGTAGTTGAGTGTCTTGCGCGGTTGTAGGCGAACTCGGCGATAGGTAGACACTCCTCCCACTCTTTGATGTTCTTCTTGATTAGCACTCGAAGTAGAGCGGAGAGTGTTCGGTTGGTCACCTTCGTTTGGCCGTCGGTTTGTGGATGGTACGCCATGGAGAAGAGTAGCTTAATTCCGAGCTTGGCGCATAGGGTCTTCCAAAAGTAACTCAAGAACTTGACATCATGGTCCAAGATAATCGTCTTTGGCACTCCATGTAGTCGTAAGATTTTCCTACAAAAGAGATTGGCAACATGTGAAGCATCGTCTATCTTGTTGCAAGGAATGAAATGTGCCATCTTAGAGAATCGGTCCACAACAACAAATACCGAATCCTTTCCATTTCTAGTTCTAGGTAATCGAAGTACAGAATCCATGCTAATATCTTCCCATGGTTGATATGGAATTGGGAGAGGCATGTAAAGGCCATGGGATTGAGCTTTAGACTTAGCTTTGCGACATGTAGAGCGTCGGTTGGTGAAGCGGTTGACGTCGCGAAACATCTTGGGCCAATAATAGTTCTTGGAGAGCGTAGCAAAAGTCTTATCGCGTCCGAAATGTCCCATTAGTCCTCCTCCATGAGATTCCTGCAAAAGCAACAAACGAAGAGAAGACCCAGGGATGTAAAGTTTGTTAGCTCTCATAAGATATCCATCTTTGATGTAATAGCGTTCCCAAGATGTATGTGTCAAACATTTGGCATAAGGAATAGCAAAAGTGGGATCATGCTCATAGAAGTCTTTTATGTGCTCAAACCAATGACATCCAATTCAAGTTGAGTAACAAGCATGCATATGCGGGAAAGAGCGTCCGCCACAACATTTTCCTTACCTTTGATGTACTTGATGACATATGGAAAAGACTCAATGAATTCACTCCATTTAGCATGACGCTTGTTCAACTTGGTTTGACCCTTAAGGTATTTAAGCGTTTCATGATCGGTATGAATGATAAATTCATGAGGGCGAAGATAATGTTCCCATTCATGCAAAACTCGCACTAAAGCATATAACTCTTTGTCATAGATGGGGTAATTGAGTTGCGCTCCGGAAAGTTTCTCACTAAAATAAGCTATGGGGCGCTTCTCTTGCGTTAACACACCTCCTATGCCATTACCACTAGCATCGCAATGAATCTCAAAGGGTTTGTCAAAGTTGGGTAATGCAAGCACGGGAGCATGAGTAAGCAAATTCTTAAGCTCATTGAAAGCGGTGTATTGGGATGGTCCCCAAACAAAAGGCGCATTTTTCTTGCTCAAGGCATGCAAAGGTGAAGCAATGGTGCTAAAGTCCTTCACAAATCTACGGTAAAAACCGGCTAAACCAAGGAAGCTACGCACTTGATGCAAGTTGGTTGGTTGTGGCCAAGTTTTAATACATTTATCTTAGAGTCATCAACATGAACACCCTTAGAGGAAACAACAAAACCCAAGAAAACAAGCTTATCAACGCCAAAAATGCACTTTTCCACGTTAGCATAGAGGTGCTCTTTTCGAAGAGTTTGCAAAATGGTTCGAACATGGGTGACATGATCTTTAAGAGATTTGCTATAAACAAGGATATCATCAAAGTAGACCACAACAAACTCACTAATGTAAGGGCGAAAGACATGATTCATAAGACGCGTAAAAGTACCCGGTGCTTCCGATAAACCCATATGCATGACTAACCACTCATACAAACCAAACATTGTTTTGAAGACGGTTTTCCATTCATCACCGTCTTATATGCAGATTTGATAGTAACCACTTTTAAGGTCAATTTTGGAAAATATAGTGGCACCACTAAGTTCATCAAGCATATCATGAAGGCGTGGAATGGGATACCTATAGCGAATGGTGATAGCATTGATAGGTCTACAATCGGAGCACATGTGAATGCTACCACCTCTTTTTGGCACAAGAATGACCGGAATGGCGCAAGGACTCAAACTTTCGCGCACATGTCGATGGTCTATGAGATGCTTTACTTTCCTTTGTATTTCTTTGGTTTCTTCGGGGTTGACGCGGTATGGAGCTTTGTTCGAAAGAGGTGCTCCGGGATGAGGTCGATGCGGTGCTCGATGCCTC